TGGGCTTATCTCAATATGAAACCGGCACCGGTCAAGAATTTCACCCTCGGTTTGGAGTAAACTCTTTACAGACATGTAACTGTTGAAAGTTACACACACAGGAAAATACAGAAATATATGTTTCCCCTTTAAAAAACAAAGGACATCAATTCTCAGTAAAGTGTTTTGCTGCCCAGATTTGTCAGAGTCTACAGGAAAAGTTGAGAAGAAATGTGTTCGCTTGCTCACTACTGGTGCTGGGTCACCAGGTCTTTCTCAGTCCAGCTGGGCTTGGCAGGCTCCCACTGAGGAAAGGGTGCTGACTGGGCAGGAAGGTGCCTTGGTCAGAGTCAGACCTGGAAGTCCGGCACAGAGGGTAAGCCTTCTACCACTCACCCACCACTGCCCTCTGCCGACTGTCTCCTAAACCATGATACACAAGGAGAAAGGCAGCCCCTCTGTGAGCACCTTTTAGTAAGAAAACGTGATGGTTTTTTTCCCTGTTAAAAAACACATAATAAGGACCCCTAAGAAGCATCTACTCCCATAATGAATGACAGTCTTGTAGACTCACGGGGGGAGTTCTACCCTGTGTTAAAGGGGTCACTGTGAGTCGGAATCGACTTGATGGGCGTGAGCTTGGTGTTTTTGAAGGAGCCCCTAACACCGTAGATTGAGGGGTAGGCTGCTAAGCAAAAGGTGAGTAGTTCAAATTCACCAGCTGCTCCTTGGTAGAATACTGAGGCTGCCTGCTCCTGCAAAGATTTAGTCTCAGCCACCCTATGGGTCAGAACCGACTCCACACCAGTGGTGTGCTTTATTTTAATGTTTTTAAGGGTTCTCATATGTTTGAGCTATTTTAAAGCTTATGGACTACTGTTTAGTGGTTACAAGGAATATGTAACAATTACTACCGGTGCCCCTGTGGGTAAATTGTTGGGGTGCTGTCCCAGGAGTTGGGAGTTCAATATTGCCATCAGCTGTGTGGGAGAAAGGCGAGGCTGGCTACTCTCTCACAGATTTGTAATCTTGGAAGCCCTAACGAGGAGCAATTCTACTGTCCCACCGAGCGTCCCAAAGAGTCTGAATCAACTTGATGGTAGTGGGTGTCACTGTGAAAGGGCTAGGTAGCCAGGTTAGGGATAGAGGCGGTGGTCCCTCCCATGTGTGCACAGGCCCCCTACAGGAGCTTAGGAAGAAAAATCAGGCAAGCATTAGCCACCCATGAAGACTTTAACTCCAATTCAGCACCCCACCCCCAG